TAGTAGTAAAGTTGGAAGGAACCTTGAAGGTCATCTAGTCCAACCCCCTGCTCAGGCAGGAAACCCTATACCATTTCGGACAAATGGCTGTCCAGTCTCTTCTTAAAAACTTCCAATGTTGGAGCATTCACCGCTTCTGGAGGCAGGTTGTTCCACTGGTTAATTGTTCTCACTGTCAGGAAGTTTCTCCTTAGTTCTAGATTGCTTCTCTCCTTGATTAGTTTCCACCTGTTGCTTTATATTTATAAATATGTATATTCACATAAAACGATTGTCTCAGAACAGTGTTTCACAAAGTGTGATCCGAGGACCTCTGGAGGTCCTCTACACACTCTCAGGGATCTGCAAAATCAAAATGATTTGGCAGCTTATGTTGAAAAATAATACAATATTACAATCTGATCAGACATTCCTGAGGAGCAATAGTGGCAGAAAATATGTCAATTTTAAATTTAAATACAGTCAATAACAATTAACCCATAGAAACAAAAGTTATTTTGAAATGCTCCATAATTTATAAAAGTGTTTGTACAAAGAGGGTGTATTTTCTATTGCTGTAGAGAGCCATGGAGATGGCCTTGAGGGAGCTATTCGGAGGTCATTGCAAAATCAAAAAGGACATAAATCTGCCTTAATCCCTGGGAAAGGAGACAATATTAGGCTGATTCCCCCCCTAACTCTCAAAAAAATGTTTAGTTTTTCTATTCTTGTAGGGTCTGTTTCCTGATCTGGACAACCTCGAAGACTTGACACTTTAGAGGTACATCAACAAAAGTTTGTTCCATTTGCTTAATTGCCGAATGAATATCAGAAAGGCCACCTATATGTGTCTTTCCTTCCTTCCTTCCTTCCTTCCTTCCTTCCTTCCTTCCTTCCTTCCTTCCTTCCTTCCTTCCTTCCTTCCTTCTTTCTTTCTTTCTTTCTTTCTTTCTTTCTTTCTTTCTTTCTTATAATAATAAAAATAAAGTTGGAAGGGACCTTGGAGGTCTTTTAGTCCAGACCCCTGCTCAGGCAGGAAACCCTATTTCAGACAGATGGTTTTCCAGTTTCTTCTTAAAAACTTCCAGTGTTGGAGCATTCATAACTTCTGGAGGCAAGATGTTTCACTGATTAATTGTTCTAACTGTCAGGAAATTTCTCCTTAGTTCTAGGTTGCTTCTCTCTTTGGTTAGTTTCCATCCATTGCTTCTTGTCCTGCCTTCAAGCGCTTTGGAGAATAGCTTGATTCCCTCTTCTTTGTGGCAACCCCTGAGATATTGGAACACTGCTATCATATCACCTTTCTTTCTTTCTTTCTTTCTTTCTTTCTTTCTTTCTTTCTTTCTTTCTTTCTTTCTTTCTTTCTTTCTTTCTTTCTTTCTTCCCCACTTCTTTCTTTCCCACTTCTTTCTTCTCCCTTTTTTCCTTCCTTCCTTCCTTCCTTCCTTCTTTCCTTCCTTCCGTTCATCCCTCCGCCCACCCATCCACATGGAGCAGGAATTTATGTTCCTTTTTTGGATAGATGGAAGACTATGCACAAGTAATACCTCATGTGTTTATAACCTTATTTATATAATTGGTTTGGTATTTATTTCTCCAGGCTCCACCAGCAATACAAGAGATGGAAAAGTGACGATTGGAAGCATGTGTGTATGGAATGGAAGGGAGAAAGCTGGTGTGCAAGAGGACTAAGCACACCTACAGTCAAACATGCCTTCAGCCCATCTTAATTCTGCTTCCCATCGGAATATGTCTGTTCTTTGCCGTTTGCTTCTCCGGGCAGAGAAGAGGCACTGGGATGAATTTGGTGGATGGAGGAGGGGTTATTCCCAAGGAAGTAAGACTGATCTTAATAAGCAAGTGGGGAAGATGGATCATCTAAAAAATAAGGAACAAAGACAAAAGCGGCTGTGGAAAAAGATGGAGGCTATTGAAGCTCAGATGGCTGCTGGATCCAAGGTAAGGCTGCTTAATGGAAACTGACATTAATAACCACATTTGGTCAAAACTAATGGTTTGATTTTTAAAAACATCAGCATCTTCCTGTCAAAGCTAGGGTAAGTTCTGCTTGTTGTTTGTAGAACTTGCTGTGATTTTCTCATATCGATGGTATAACTGTGGCATTCTGGTCACTGGCTGCTACAAATATTGTTTGTCAGCTGTTATTCAGATCCATCTGTACTAGACCTTCACAGAATTCCTGGTAAATATAAAGATGTAGAGAGAGAACAATAAACAGTAATATGTCACCTTAACTTTATAATACAGTAAATTAATAAATAAGGCATCATTAATCTGTACAATAGCACAATTCAAAATATCCATGTTATATACAAGTAGTCCTCTTATGACCACAATTGAGCCCATCTTGATCTGAATACATTATGTGATAATACATTTTTGTTTAGATTGATGGTGACATTATTTTTAGGATTTTAAGATTATCACATTTTAAGATTATCATTATTTTAGTGTTTCATTATTTATCTTGGGTGATTTAACACATCATGGTTAACTGCCATGTGTCCTATAGGATTTGGCATTATGCAGGCCAAATAAATGTAAATAACTTA